GCATATTAGTCAGGATGAACGAGCAGCGTGCTATACACGTGGAATCTTTCTTCTGTTCCAGAACTACCTCATAACTAAGATCGCTCGAGGACGAGCGAATTTCAGTCTGGCCGTGTCGGAGCGACGATTAGTACAATTGAATTTTGAAGGAGGTTTTATCACAATTCATCGGACGAGGGTACCATAAATCGTACTCTGGCGGAACGTCAAACTGGCAGTTCTGCGTGCGCATTATGTTGGAGAGCGAGCGCTGTGACTGTCATTGGAGACGGATCGCCGACGTCCGTTATTTTTGTAATTTATTCGGCCTGATTATGAAATCCTACGCCCTGCAACGGACTGTGAAGACTATGATCGGGATGTTGCTGTTTGTACCAACCCCCCGGTGCCTTCATCAGAAGTGGGATGTAATCTACTTCCACCGAGGATGGACAACAATGATGTCAAATGGAAAATGTTATTGGACCAACAAAATCAAAATTTCCTCGCCCTTATACAAGCTATGCAAGGTACCAAGACCAAGAATAACTTGCGTTTCCCGGAGTTTGATCCAGAAAAGACGAGTGTAGATGCGCGTGCTTGGTTATCTACAGCAGACATGTGTATGGCGGAGGACCCATTATCTGGAGCGCCTCTTATGATAGCCCTGAGCAAAGCGTTAAAAGGACAAGCATCGGCATGGCTGTCGCAGGTTTCTTTTCCTGGTATGACGTGGAAAGATTTTCAAGAAGCTTTTACCGCCCGCTATGATAGTTCTGAGACTGCTGCTTCCACGATGATCAATCTTTTCAATAGCAAACCAAAGGAAGGTGAGTGCCTTGCTACTTATGCTGCAACTCAATTAAATCTCTTGATGGCGCGTTGGAAGAAACTTAGTATAGAGCAAATAGCAATTTCTACAGTTATGGCGCATATAGCTCAGACAGAACCACGTGTATATCGTGTCGCTTTTACAACAGAGATTCCAACTAGAATGCGTTGTCTTATTTAAAGAGAAAGGCACCGATAGCTAATAATCGTGTAGATGATACCTCGGACATGAAGCGACAAAAATTTATGACCCCTTCAGTTGTGAAATGCACTCATTGCGGTAAATTAGGTCACCATGTCTCTGTATGCCGTCATAGAAGACAATACGTCTACCAAAAGGACAATCGTTACGCCGGTTCATCTCGTGATGATTCGAAGAATCCTCCAGTGGCCCTGAAGGCGACTATACCTGACTCCATTATTTGCTACAACTGTCGAGGCACTGGACATTACGCCTCACGTTGTCCACGGGCAGCTAACGCGGAAGGGAAGAAGACGCCTTCTACTTCTACTGGCAAGCCTCCTGAGCGACGTGTGGACGTCTGCATGCTCAGCGCCCCTCAAGGAATTTTACGCCACTTTGGTGAGTCGTTTTCATATCGTTTTGATTCAGGAGCCGAGTGCTCACTTGTGAAAGAGTCAATATCGTCGAAGTTTCAAGGAACAAGATATAATAAGACTGTTTAAAATGACTGGTATTGGTCAAATAAGCGTTTACAGTACAATGCAAATACTAGCTGTTGTTGATATTGACGATGTTGTGCTCGAAGTCTTGTTTCATGTTCTTCCGGATGAATTTCTTCAGCATGTAGTTGCCTATTTTAGTAAACGCACTACAACCGCCGATTCAGAATATCACTCATATGAGTTAGAGACTTTAGCGATTGTGAATGCTGTAAAATATTTCAGGCCTTATCTGCATGGAAACAAATTCACAGTAGTTACGGACTGTAACTCTTTGAGATCTTCTCATAAAAAGGCAGATTTGACCCCACGTGTCCATAGGTGGTGGGCTTTCTTACAAGCATTCGACTTCGAGGTTTTGTATAGAGACGGAAGTCGAAAAATTCCGATTTGACAGCACAAAGACCAAGCTTAAAAGATACTCGGTAGGTGAATACGTACTTTTACAAAGTGAAGAGCGTAATCAGACTAAGCTCGATCCCAAATTCAAGGGACCATTTCGTGTAACCGAAATCTTAGACGGTGATAGATATGTACTGAAGGCACTTAATAATAATCGGACATACAAATACGCCCATGATAGGCTGCGTAAAATGCCCAATAGTGAAATCATACCTAATTCATCCGATGATCATGAAAGTGTGACTGAAAATGTTAGTGACTAAGGCTTTTAAATGGTTAAAGATACAGTGATGTGATTGATTACCACATGTCTCATGGCTTAAAAAAAAAGAAAATGATTTTTATTTGTCATATATCAGTTTGTAGCCGTAGCTCCGGTTTTGCCGTAGTGAGTGCGCGGTGTGCAACTGAAAATGAAATGTTTGAGCCGCTGGTTAAGCGATGCCGCTGGTTAAGCGATGCCGCTGGTTAAGCGATGCCGCTGGTTAAGCGATGCCGCTGGTTAAGCGATGCCGCTGGTTAAGCGATGCCGCTGGTTAAGCGATGCCGCTGGTTAAGCGATGCCGCTGGTTAAGCGATGCCGCTGGTTAAGCGATGCCGCTGGTTAAGCGAAGCCGCTGGTTAAGCGATGATATAAAAAAAATAAAGTAAACTCAATCGCTGGTTAAGTGATTAGAGTATCCTGTTGCTGGTTAAGCGGCAGATGAATATTCAATCGTGTCGCTGGTTAAGTGGCTACGATACCGCTGCTGGGGAAGTGGCGAAGACAGATCACTGGCTAAGTGACTGTGTAGTGTGTAGTTGATTATGCCATTAGACTTGTTACAAGAAAGAGGAAGTTAAAATCATGTAATAAGAATTGATTACTAAATAGTCAATCAGAATAAACAAAAGATTTACTTTGAATTTGAATTCTATTCAGTAACCGTTACATAATTAGGGTCAGGCATGACCGAGCAAAGAAATGTACACTGGATTATTACTCCTTTCCAGATGAGCCACACGAGGACGTGTGAAGCGCAGGATGGCCGTGTCGCAGTGTTAATCAAAACGCTCACTACGTCATCTCTTAACAACACGTTGAACTAATTTTAGTTTATAAGTATTCAAAATAGATGGCCCTGTAAGGTTTTATTCAGACTAGTATTATAGTAACTGTCGGTATGACAGCGACTTCACTCGCTACTCAATCATTCAGCTATGATTGGTGCGTTCGTTCGCGCATCTATGGACGGTCACTTTTCAAATGCTAAGCTGAAGAACCTGTCAATCCGATTAGATCTGCGATGTGACTTTTTATTTAAATAATTTAAGATTGGTAATTGAATATACGTGTGCTGTACATTTATCTGGAGCCTTATTTTTGAATTCTGCAACGATGGATGATGATAGGAATGCACATGGCAACCTGACAACAGAGGACGTCCCGTCATATATATATATATATATATATGACGGGATATATATATATATATATATATAGCTCAAGGCTGTTACAAATTGAAATACAGCAAAATTAAATAAGATGAATGACACACACAACTAAAGATAATTGAATCTCCTTAAAAAATAAAAACTACCGAATTAAGTTTAATATAAAACAAAACGAACAATCTCTAAATTAAATCAATAAAATTAAATTTTAGTTACATTGTAATCCAGAAGACTAAACCAAACTTAACTTACCTATTATTTAATTAAATGAGATTAATGTTATCACTGATAGACATAATCAAAGTAAATAAACATATTTTTGACAATAAACTATATAAGTAACAATAAATGGCAATAAACTATATAAGTAACAATTAATAAAACTTAAATTGAATCTGAAATTAAGATTAAGATAAATAGGAAATATTAACATAAATTACTTTGATCTTGTCATCACAAAAAGAATTGTTGAAACACACAGATTTATTTTATTTGTCTTTTTTTATGTATGTTATACCAAATATGCAATCTTTCAACACAATAACTTGTAGAAAAGTTTGAAAAAATATTTCATTATAAGAAAGCTCCAAAACAATGCAAACATTAATGAATTAATTTTACCATTACAGGTGAAATAATTAGTCATTCAAAATAAGGCCGTGTCGATGTGTCCCTGGCTATATTGCTGAAGTCACGTCTAGCTAATCGTGTTCTAGAATTTTATTGTGACTTCATGCACAGTTTAATTGGTAAGTCTTATTAACTGCCTGGGACTGGACAGATACTGGTACCCTCGTAAAATTTTGAAAATAAAAACCTCTATTTAAGTATTTCATTTTGAATAACTTTAACTTTTCTTAGGTACTTAATCTTTACGCCAGCAAAACAAGGTATTCTTCTGTTAACTTCACTAAATAAGATATGTTATAAGTGTAAAGTTCTAAAAGAATTTTGAGCTTACCAGTATACCAGTATGCCAGATCATCGTCACTCACATTTATCAGCCGGCAGTTATAATTGGCACCATAAAAGAGCGTAAATTTGAACTGACACCACTGAACGGAATCAACACTAATTTGTGGCTACTTCGAATAAATGTGGTGTTTAAAAAATAGGATTGTTCAGGAGTGAATTATAACTTTGTATGTGATATACAATTGTGAGCAAACAGTCAGACAGAATACGAAAGAAGCAATCGAGTTGTTGGCATAGAATTAACTGACTAAATAGACAAATTTTATTAAAAGCTACGACTTATTTACGTGTATTAATTCAAAAAATGTCCTACTAGTTTGAAGTTACAATGGGACTCAGTGTGGTAAAAATTACCACACTGGCCTTCAAAACTCAGATCGCTGAGGTTGGTCAGAAAGCTGCAAGCCTCAAGTGAAACTGGACTGGACCGGTCGCTGCCTGGTGAGTGGTGGGCGAAACACATTGCTATGTGAAGGTCACACAACGTCAAGAGACGTCAAGGCAGGCCCAGAAGAAGGTGGTGACAAACTCGTCATCTGCAAAAAGGATTGACTGCAAAGAGCCGAGAAGAATAGAAGAATGGCATGGAGGTCTGAAGTGCAACGACAACAGCTAAAATAAAATTGTATCCAAATAAAGTTTATTTAATAATTATTTTTTTTTATTTTTTTATTTATTTCAAGGAAGAAGGCTTACAGACTAATAACATCTTATAGGTAGTAACAAACTGTAGTTTTAACAAGTTGCTAATAACAAGCCCCCGCATATGGGTATTATACGTATATTGTACATATAAATACCTAAATACATTTGATTTGGTTATCAACGTTATAGCTCTCATGGCCTTATTTACTGTTACGAAATAAAAACACAATGCTTCATTTTTTTGTTGAAACTTCGTTTTCATATTGGTCTTCAGGCAGCTCAAAGACCTCAACTTTAGGATTCTTCTCACAAACAAAGTAAGCCTCCCGAGTAGACCACTCCTCGTCCAGTTCACCGTTTTCCAAAATTCCTCCAAATATATTTATTCCTTTGTTGTCGGGTTGGTTTAGGTGCCACTTGTGATAAACAGACTCCATTTTTTCTCCTGAAACCATAACGATTTAGCGTGTTAATAATGATTGTCGATTATTTCTTTTTTGCACTTATTTTGTAAAACCAACTCCATAAACTATATGAATTGCATACACATAGCACTGGCCATTTATTTCACTAAAAATAATTATGATCAAAGTTTTTGCAAAAAATTTTATCAATTTAAAAAAAAATTACGTCACTAACCATGAATAGTGCGGAACGTCAATAAATCCTTGTTCCAGTCAAAGAATCCAGCGTGTGATAGTTCCCAGTTAAGGTCCCTTGGTTTTCCTTGCAATATTTTCACCACAACGTCGGCTTCTTTGTCATCGTCGATAATAACAAGATGGCCTCCCTCTGCTAAGCATATTCCATATGCTTGTCGCCAGTCTCTTGCCTGCTTGTGCAACTTGTAGCAGCTATCCGTCTCCGAATTGTAGTGGTACTCTGAGAGGAAAATATTAAAGTCACAGCTATATTATTTTGAGCTTAAATTGGATAGGTACCTGCCGTTATAATTGGATAGTCGTAATGCTACTGTTGAGTAAAGAGCCTTCAGTAATGGAAAGTGTCATAGTGTGGTGTCAAATGTTAAAACCGGGCATGAGCGTATCAAGCTACGCTCAGTGTAGGGTAGTAGTTTCCCGTCTGTCTTAACACCACAGTTCAGTGAGAACAGCAGTACAGCGCCATCTCTTGAGAAATTGGGTTACTAATTTACACAAACTAGGCGGGTTATGTACATCATGTTATTGGTGGTCATTTTGAATTGCGTAAACCGTCCCTAGTTGACTACGGAACCCTAAAAATGTGACTACATTTTTTTCCCAATACTCTGGTGGATTACGAAGCAATGATGGATTAGTACAACCCTTAATATTCAGTTAGTAAACCGAAATAGTTTAGGTCCAGTCATAGAATTTACCTTGATCAAAAGTTCCACAGTCCGAGTTGTACTTCAGTTGAGTTGAATTTTCCTTGTAGCAAATGTATGGCAACCATTGTGTGCAAGAAGTAAATGCAACTTCTCCCTCCCTAACCAAGCTCATGCAGTCATCAGGTTTTCTGCCGTTTGTGTTAGGCACAGTTACAGGCATGTCTTCTATGGGAACTCCTGCAATTTAAAAAAAATCATTTGCTGTGACCGTGGTTTCGATTTCGTAAGTTTCGATGTAGTTACCTAATATACCCTGTTCAATAGTAATTTTCTATTCATTCATAAGTATGTTAATGCAATGTTTTCCAAATATTATTCACAAAAGGGCGTGGTTTATTAAGGTAACTCTAACAGACATTACCACTTCTTCTATTTTGTGACCTTGTAAAACTGTCAAAATATTTGATATCAGGGCAACATTTTGTTCATTTATTACACGGTTTTGATATCTTCAGCTGCAAAATCTGTGTCAGGCTTACGAGTAGGATTGAGGAGTGGCTAAAATGATGAAACTCGAATGTGAGACGTAAATAAAAAATAAAAATATAATATAAAAATACAAAATAAAAATATAATAGGATAAAAACGTGATCGAAATGTAACACTGCTTAACCCATCAATTACTTACCTTCGATTGACAAATAATCCGCTGAATTGAACATCACCTTCGTTCCAATAAAAATTGGAGAATCGATTCCTGCTTCCTGCTTCGCAGCAAGCATAGCTTTTTGTAGTTCTGTATCAAAAGGCGACGCTAAAATTGCATCTGTAATGATAAACTTGTTTAAATATTTAGCGGCTGAAGAGAAATTGTTGAACACGATACAATAAGATAATGGTGTCAAAAGTCAAAATCATTTATTGCAACTAAACCATAAATAGGTACTTTTGAAACGTCAAGATAGAATAGTAGTCTGTCAGCCTGTTCGTCAATGAAGCTAGGTGCTCATTCCAAATTGTAGATTCGAATGGAGAAGAACGAGCAAGAAACTCCATCCGGTGAGCAGAGCGAAGTATTACTCAATAGACCGTTTGAAAGGTAGGGCTTAAGAAGTTCTTCGAAAATGAGTTTACCTTCGTAGAGGCACCTAAGGAAAGCGCCCTGCCATGTCAACGGAATCTTGTGCACTTTAAACCAACCATTTGCATCAGAATATAACAAATAACGGTTACACGTCGCCGAACCTGTGAAACAATTTAAAAACATTTATGAAAATGCGAAATAAGAAAAATGAGATGCTGTTCATAGAACAGTATCATTTAAATGTGCAGTTAAGAGAAAGTGCTAATGCTGTTGTTGATTTATTTCATTTTAATTGAACGACAGCTTACAAGGAGAAGCCTTTATAATGGGGATGCCTTTGCCCAGTAGTAGTTGCCTTCCGGCCGCCGATGATGATGATGATGATGATGATGATGATGAAAGACAGCTAAGCTTCAAACATTTATGTATATTCAAATGAGAGGAACAAATAAACTAAGTAGACATTGTAAGAGGAAAAGATCATAAATACTGTAGATAACAATAAAAACTAATTAGCATAAATAGCCGGATCCTTGCAATGACTCCCGCAACCGCTTGTGACATCAGGTCGGGCGCCGCCTGATGTGACCTTCCGTTCGCCAGCATCAGCGTGTCATCAGCGTAACAAACTATGTTGACGCCGCTCAAGAGGTCGAATCGTACCCGATGTTCCAATGAAACAACAAAATGAAACAATGAAACAATGAATTTATTTTTGCAAATAGGCCATAAAACGGCACTTTTACACGTCAATTTATATGTGAAAAACTAGATGAAGCCGGCATTTCCTATCTGACTACTCTGAGAAGAAATGCCGAAACAAACTCAGAGGTCAGTCTCTTTTCAAGTCCAGACAAAGTAAAAATAACATAATGTGAGAGAATCGTGCAAGTTCATTCTGTAGTGGTCTTTTGAGGAAAGAACCACACCAGTTTAAGTGGACCCGTTCTGAAGACAGGCACGCAAGTGTCAGTTTGCAACCAGTATAGCTAGTGCTGCTGAGTTGTCCGACGAACAATACCGATCTAAAGAACATTTGGGTGGGTCGCGCAAGTACTCAAACTGTCAGAACGCAGATAACTGGTAATCAAAAAGCACGGCAAGTCTCACACGGTCCTTACACTAACAATAATATAAAATAATAAAAATGTCAATAAATAAATTAAAAAAAATGTCAAAAAAAATAAAAAATAAAATGTCACAATAGGTGATTATGTCATTGTATAAAAAATAAAAAAAATAAACGTAATGTCAAATTGTATATAAAATTGTAACTTATGTTACAAACATGTCAACATGACCTGTGCAGACATTACAGCGGCTCATTCCCATGCCTGACTATCCTCTAAGTAGTCTTTTATTTTATAAAATGCTTTACAGCAAAGTTTAGCCTTTATTACACTTTTAAATTTATTGAGGCTCAAATTTTGAATATCGCTAGGAATTTTATTGTAAAAGCGTATACATTGACATCTAAACGAACTAGTTATTTTCTGAAGCCTGGAGGCAGGGACAACATATTTGTTTTTCCCCCTCGTGTTAATATTATGTATATCACTATGCTTCTTAAATAAGCTTTTGTTTTTATGAGCGTGAATTACATTTTCATAAATATATTGTGAGGCAACCGTCATTATCTTAGTTTCCTTAAATAATTCTCTGAGCGAATGCCTCGGACTAAGATTATAGATTGATCGAATAGCCCTTTTCTGCAGAACAAAAATAGACTGAATGTCAGCAGCATTCCCCCACAACAAAATACCGTATGACATGATGCTGTGGAAATAACTAAAATAAACTAACCGCGCTGTATCTACATCTGTTAAATTTCTAATTTTTTTAACGGCATATGCTGCAGAACTGAGCTTCTAAATAGGAGAGCACGGCAGCCAGTTGCCCAGCCACCACGCCAACCGTGCAGTCAATTACGATTATCAGACGTCTTTAAAATTATTATTGTGTATAGAATCACGTTAGCCTAATCCGACTAAGGAGGTTGTAGCTCGCTCCTCAAGAAAGTAAAGATTTATGAATAAATAAATAACTAAACATACTTTTGCTTCCCACTGTATGGTTAAAGACGATAAAATGGCACTATCACAATGCTAATTCTCAAACTCTGCCCGCGACTTTACTTACCAATTATTAACAAGGAATGATTGCTTAAATTTTTTTGTAGACTTCAAATTATTTCTTGCATTTTAAGACTCCATCTTTTTATAATAAGTCCGCAAACTAGTTAATTGATTACCTGATGGTAAGCAATTGGCGCCGCCCAAGAACACTCGCATACTAACTGTATTACGATATTACCAAGGAACCCTAATTCTTCCAAAAAAATGAAATCGGTCTCGTCTTTCCTGAGGCTAGCGTGTCCCAAGAAACAAACAGAAAAACTCTTCAGCTTTATATTGTTAAATTAAAAAGTAATATAATTATATAAATATTGTGTACTGGTGTACAAGGTCACATAGTATCTTTCGACCTGAGCACAGCCCACACTTATTATTGTTCGTTATCAACTTTGTTGGTACATTTAGATTTCAAAATTACTTTTTTATGTACTTTTTTACTAAAAACATTTAAAACACCAGTAGCAAGAGAATGGTACAAGATGTGGTTTAGGGCTCCATCAGTAGAAACCGTTGTCTTCTTCCTTTGCGAGCCTGACTGCTTCACAAAAAGGAGGAGACGACGTCCCAGTTCCTCTCACTCCGCAACATGGCCTCGACTAAGGCCGGGCGCGAGAGGTCACCGCCGCCGATCACTTCCCTGAGGATACGGCGGTGCTCAGCCCAGGCAGGGCATACCGCTACCGTATGCTCCACCATATCCTCTAGGTGGTCCTCACAATGACGACACTCTGGCGTTTCCTCCCGCTGAAACAGGAACCTACCGAAGCTGCCGTGCCCGGTAAGCACCTGCGTCAGGCGGAAGGTGAGGACGCCGTGGCGTCTCTCAAGCCACTCCTCAAAGAGGGGTCTTACCGCTGCTATAATAGCGTGCCCGAATTACCGACCCTACCGGCCATGTCCAACCACGTGTTCGTTAATGTTCATTCACTAAGTGCGCTAACAATTGATTTGAACTAGAAATCAATTAGTACCCACATTAGAACAAAAGAGGGCCGGTAGCAGAAACGTGATATCTCTGAAATTTGATAATTTGGTTTGGAACAAACGGACAAACACGCCCGTATGTCGCTCTCCATATTTAACTTTCAACTCTCTGACTGATAGCCTTAAGTTCAAAGTAGAATAGCTTGTGCTTTTATAGACATAGAGCTGCAAAGGCCCCTGTTAGCCTTTCCCACGTTGCTTCATTACATCAAACATTCTGCCACGCGTATTATGGTAATAGAAAAAAATATATATATCTTGGCTACTTTGCATAATCCGTGAATGACAGCGTGACATTAAGTTGTCTGTTTATTTCGCCAAGATTATGAGCCTTTGAGTTGGAAGAAAGTGTACTCTATTTCAAATGGTGTAAGGTTTATGAAGTATTTATGTAGATGTAAGTATTTAAGTTGGCCATAGACGAAGTGATATGACAGTGGTGTGAAGAGTACGATTTTGTTGTTTTTTCGTGTTTAAAGTCAAGGGCTTGATATTGTTGGTTATATTGTAAGTAAGTACTTGAGAACTATTAATATATTAGATATTATTTCAATTGTTAAAATTCGACAATTTCCTATGAATTTCATTCGGTAATCGGTATAGTGCGTCATTGTTCCGTATCAAATAGCAGACTAAACTACTTTAAATAACTACAAAAATACAAATATTTATAATACTTATAATAGATTACGAATGTAAGTGTAATTATATCACACTCAACAATAATCATGTTCAAAGCCAAAAAATCAGGATAACTTCTTTTTGGCCCAGTGCATACTCCATTACGATAGTGTGTCGAAAATGTAATATTTTTCACTTAGCTAGGAATTTCAAAATATATTTTTACTATAACTAAAATATATTAGTGTTTACTATAGAAAAACTCGAAGACAAATTCATTAATCTGTAACCCGCGGCTGCGTTAGCGCCTACTTAACAAATTCATATTCTCGCTATCACAAAAAAACATGTTATTGTCTTTATGTTTAAAGCAGGCTCTGCTATTATCATATGTCTAAGTATTAGCAACATTTTAACTCTGTTCTTTAATTATAACTGCCTGTACATAGTGCAATCCTTCACCTCCCTATCTCCCTAATTCCGTGTAGGTACCTGAATTCCTCAATCTTCAAAACTCAGACTGATTGCTTGATAAACCGTGTGATCTCGGAAACGGCCCAAACGATTTCGCTAAAATTTGATATGTGGGGGTTTTCGGGGAGGGTCCGCTAGTATACTTATCTATCTTCCATATATATATTATTAGATACGCGTCTTCAAATTTTTGACAAAACTTACATGCCTACGGCATTTTTGAACCCTGAATAAACCTATCCTTGTAACTTCAACAGAAAATTTAATTAAACGCATATAAATGTATAATTTACAACAAACTTAATAAATATTTTCCCTTGCATTCAGCAATGTCATTTATAATGCATTTGTACTAAGAAAGTGCTTGCCCGCACAAAGGAAGGGAACATACCAATTTCTTTAAGACAACAAGGGTTGCATTGGTTGGTGTTAATATTTAATCAAATCGATAAATTCTCTTGATTTCTGTTTTTCTATTGCAACAGAATACTCGTTTTCTTGCTTCATTGAAATAACTTATCCAGTATCCGTGATACTAGACTTGTTATTATTGGCAATAGTGGAGACTGGACCTGAAATATCCTTAGAAATGACCTGAATACAAGCATAATCATTTGGGACAGCTTAAATATTAGCAATCTGATGTAGGCCCGTCCCATTTTCAGTAAATGGATAACAGCGGATGAATTGACAATATCCTCAAGGTTATTTATTTACCCGCAGTGGTCAGATATGAAGAGCTGAAGATTGAACTTAGTGGAAAGTTATATGAGTTATACTAATCACACTGGACATAGTCGGCCTTATTACTCATGTTTGTTTGTTTTTATATATTTTTTATGTTCTTGTCCTAGTGGTGTACAATAAAGAATATTATTATTATCCATCAATTGAGTTTTGCTTTCCTCGACATTTTAAGAGTGCCGGTAAATTAATGAAACCACGGGCCTAAGCCAAGTGAGCTTCATTGGAGGGAATAGGTTCTATTTGTGGGTACTGTCGCGAGAATAGTTCGTGCAATCGTTTCCTATATGTTGTCTTATCCGTTTCTAACTTTGTTATATAATAATAATTGCGCATGATGAATATATTTACTTCTTTACTCCAAGACATGCGCACTCTTGGTTTGCCAGCCTTG